CCCCCCCCTTGGCTGCATTCTGCCCCCGCCCCGCCCATCGGTGGTCGATGCTCACCATATCCTGCATACCTGCCCCTCGCCGGCCCTCCACCACCCAGGCGACCGTATCGATCTGAAGGAGATCTGCCCCAGCCCGCATGACGTGACCTCCCTGCTGAAGCTGTATCTCCGCGAGTTGCCCGAGCCGCTATTCACCTTCGAGCTTTATGACTGCTTCATGGCAGCCAACGGTGCGCCTCCCAGTGTCTGCCCTTCGTGACATCCTCCCTTGCCTGTACTCACATGGCTCCGTCTTTTTTTTCTCTCTCTCCCTCCTCCCCTTATTTGCCACACACGCCCCACGCAGAGATTTCCGACGTGCCAACCCGTCTGGATTGTCTGCGCAAAATCATCACCTACCTGCCGCCCGGCAACTACACGCTGATCCTCTTCCTGATCAAATTCCTGCGGATCGTTGCTCTGCTGGAGGACAGCAACAAAATGGGCCCCAACAACCTCTCAGCGGTCTTCGCACCGAACCTGCTCCGCAGCGAGTCCGAGCAGGATCCCAGCGGCGACATGAGTGGCTTTGACATCAAGGGCACACAGCACGCGTCCGAGATCATGTACTCGCTGTTGGTGGATTTCGATCACATTTTCCCGGTGCGCCCCCCCCCCCCCCCCTCCCCCTCCCCCTCCGTCCGCCCTTTCAGCCTCCCGCACACATTGCTGCACGCCATGGCGCCCCCTTCACGCCTGTATCCTCCCATGTACCTCCTCCTGTCCCTGTGTGGAGGATCCAAGCCCTGACTCTTGCATGTGTGTTGTCCTCTTTTCGTCGTCTCGTCGTCCCCCTTCGTCTCTCGCTCCCGTCCCTCTCGCTCCCGTCCCTCCCCTTATCCATACTGCTTTGCAGGATGGCGGGTCCGTTCATTTCGATTTCGAATACATTGCCGGCGGCGTTGAGCCTCCGCCCTCGATCCAGGTGGACCCGGTGGTGGACGTCGGCCTGGCAGCGACCGAAGATCTGACCGCGGTGGTGGATCCGTGGATGATTGAGCGTGCCGAGGCCGATGGTCTGGCAGACTTCGGTGCCCTGTCGCTGCAGGCCGGCGACCCGGCAGGGGCCGCGGGCAGCGGCTACACCACTGACTACGTGCCCTCCCCTTCGGAGTCGGTTCTCTCGGACCAGAGCCACTGCTCCGTGGCCACGGTGGCCACGACGACGGGCGGCAGCGGCGGCGGCGGCGGCGGCGGGTCTCTGACGGACACCGAGTCGCCGGATGGCTTCGCCTCTGGGCCTGGCCCGGCCGGCTCCTCCTCGGCCGGGGGGCCCGCGCCCAATGGACCATCGTCCTTCAGCCGGCTGAAGCACCGCGCCAACAACATCAAGCAGCAGCTGTCCCGCAGCATGAAGGGCAACATGCAGCACCCATCGCAGCAGCAGCAGCAGCAACATCATCATGGTGGCAGCGGTGGGGCCCTGGCTGGCCACCACTCGGCGCCGCATATTTCCTCGCCGCTGACCACCGGGGCCCTTGCCCCGGAGTACGGCACCGAGGGGGACAACGACGAGGGCGATGAGGACGATGCGCTGCTGTGCCAGCAGCAGTCCCAACAGCCGTTGGCCCTGGATGGCCATACGGCGGCCATTTCCCCGTGTGATTACTCGCTGGCCGACCGCTGGTCGGCGGCCAGCCCGGCAGGAGGAGGGGGGGACCCGCAGCCGGCCGCGTCGGCTCTCGCCGGGGCAAACAGCACCGCCGCTTCGCCGCCCCCGCCCTCTCGCCCGACCGGCGCATCATCGCCCGCCAAGTCCTTCTCCATTTCGGCCCCCTCGCCGACGCGGACATTCGGCGGCCCCGGTAGCGGTGCATCCCCCTCTCCCCACCACCATCATTCCCCCCCCTCGGCTGTGTGTTTGCTGCTCTCTCCTGCCCCCCCCTCCCCCCCTCTCTCTTCTCTCCTCCCTTCTCTCCCCGTCAAAGGCCGCCTTCGCCCTCCGCCTCCCTTCCCCCTCTTCCTGGCCCCTGACCTGTGATTAACTCGCCCCCCCTCGCCTGTGACCCCATGTAGGGCACTCTGCCATCTAAGCAGCGGGTGCCGCGGCCGGCCACGATGGCCGGTGCGCCTGACCCGGGGGCCGGGCCATACCCCGGGCGGCCGGCTGGTCTGGGTGCCGGGCCGCAAGTGTCTGACACGTATCCTGGCCGGCGTGGCGCACAGCACCCTTCCAGTGGTGTTGACTTCACTGGCTCCGGGAGGGCTCCTTCACATTTCCGTCATTCCTTCGCTCCCGGTGGCGGGGCAGCCGCCACGGCTGGCACCTCCCCGGCGGGCAGCCTGCCTTCCAGTACCACGGGCACGAGCGCGGCCACTCCCTTCTCCTACTCCCTGCAGTCCGGGCCCGTGGTGTCCACCCTCGCCATCGACCCGGTGACCTTCCTCAACTCCGGCTCCACGGACTCCATTGACCGGATCTCCTCCATCCCGGCGGCCACGCTGGACTCGTCGGCCACATCGGCCTACTTGGCGGTTGTCCCGCAGGCGGGCGATCTTACACTGGGCATGGGCGGTATCGGGGGCGCCGGCGCGGGCAGCGGCACTGGTCGTGGCCGCGATGGCAGCCCGGATCCCGGGTCCTTCTCGCCGGCCCTGCTAAACATCAACACCGGGGCCCTGCGCCGGAGTGCCGGTGGTCTCCCCGGCATGGACCCCGGGGCCGGGGGCGTGTCAGCCCCTCCGGCCCGGCGGCGTCCCTCGCAAATCATCCGCCTCTCGGGGGAGCTATTTGCCGATGCCTCGAGCTCGCCACCCCCATCGAGCACCTCCTTTGCTCGCTTGGCTCCGACCCCGCCCTCTGCCAGCTATGACGTCTGGTGCCAGACCGCGGCGGCGGCCGACGCCCGGCGGAGGCATGGACAGCAGCCAGGGCAGGTGGCCTCGCGTGCCGGGAGTCCCGACCTGGCGGCCGCCGTATCGGCAGCCGCCTCGGCCGCTTCGACTGCCCCGGCTTCGGCCACTTCATCGGCCGTGGGCTCGCCCTCGCTCGGGAGCGGGGGCGCTGCCGGTGGCGCGGAGTTCGGCGAGGGCCTTCCGGATGCCGGCGACTCGGATGTGAGCCTGCGCCCGGTGGCCCCCTCCAACGGCCCGCACGTCCGGCCAATGTCCTTGTTCGATCCGCCTGTGGTGGAGGCCCGGCCGGCGGACATCCGCCAGCTGGCCAACGAGATCAATGCCCTGTCGGGTCGGGTCCCCGGCAGCGGGGCTACTTCTCCCGTGGCCACCGCCGCCGCCGCTGCCGCCGCCGGTGGGGAATCGGCGTCCTCCTCTTCCTCGTCCTTCGCGCTGCCTCCGCGGTCGGCTCGCGGTAGCACCTTTGCTGCGCCGCCTGTGTCGGGTGCCCGCGGTCCCGCCTTCGCCACCTCGTCGCCATTTGCCACGGCCGCCGAGGAATCCACGCCAGCCTTCGGGGCGGCCCCCCCACCACCCGGTTCCCACCGTCGTACGTGCACTTTCATGTCGTGCTTGTGGCTTCGCCTGTCCCCCCCCCCCGATCCCCCCCTTCGCGCCTGCCCTTGCCCTCTCAACCATGGCCTCACACGTGCGTCCAGATTCCAAGCCCAACCTTCATATTTCCACCTCCTGGGACACTGGGGCTCGGCCCGGCGCGGGCCGTCCCGATCACGACCCGGCCCACTTGCCGCTCGAATCGCCGGCCATCATCCAAGAGCCCAACACCCGGCCCAGTGTCTTCCTCAAATCCTTTAGCTCCTTCAACCCGGCGCCCCCTCCGCCCGTGGCGCCGGCCGCGGTCAAGCCCCGGCGGCAGACCCGGTCGAGTGTCGTGTTGCAGGCCCGTGCCTTTGAGGATATTGCTGCGCGCAACCAAATGCCAGCACACGGACCGCCGGCCCCGCCGCCGGCTGCCCTCACCGGCCGGCATCCGCCCGCTGCCGCTCCCGGCAGCACCGGCGGCCATAGACTGTAGCTACGCGTGCGCGTGCGCGTGCGCGTGCGCGTGCGCGTGCGCGTGCGCGTGCGCGTGGCCGGCCCCGGGCCCGCAGCACCTTCGCCCATCTTTCTCTCCCCCCTCCCCCCCCCCCTTCCACGCCTTCCCTTGCTCCCAGCCCCGTCTACACCTTGCCCTGTTTGCTTCATCCCTCCCTGCCCCCCCCCCCCCTCTCTCTCTCTCTCTCTCCCTGCGGCGTTGCGCGTTTACATGTGCCCCATCCCCGAGGAGAAGGTAGAAATCCCGGGGGCCGAGTGCAAATGGACATGCGAGTGTTCGCGCTCTTTTTCAAGGACAGTATATTTTCGTGTATGCATATTTGTATGTGCATCCATTTGGGCATGGAGATGTCTACACATGTGTGTGTGTGTGTGCGCACGTGCACGATCGAGGGAGAGAGGATCGGAGAGAAGAGGGGGGGGGGGGGGGCCGGCCAGCCATCGTATCGTGGTGGGGAGGGGAAAGGTCCATTCACCTAGGGATGGGTGTGGGCCAGTTCGGGCGGACGCGAGGTGGCTCCCGCCGCCCGAATTGAAAGACCGAGCCGAGTCTTCAGTCGCGCTCGAAATACAGGACCAGCTCGCAGGGGCGCGCGTGGGGGAAAAGGTCCACACCACGGGCCAGCACTGGGCGGAACGGCTTGCCAGGGTGGCGGTTGGTCGTGGCGCGGCAAAGGCTGGGGCGAAAGTGAGACACAGAGGAAGGCAGGAGGGGAGGGGGGAGAGAGAGGGAGAGAGAAAGGAGAGTTAGACACATGGGCTCAAAGGTGACTGACAGGGGCCCGGAAACAGGGAGAAGTGAAAGAGTGGGGCAGCTGCGGAGCAAAAGGAGACGCACTCGACGAAGTTCTGCATGGCCTGGTTGGCATCGCAGGAGATGAACACCAGACGCTTCAGGTGGGCCGAAGTGCGCAGGGCGCGAACAACGTTTTGGGCTGCGGGCGAGTGTTCCATGTTCGAAGAAGGAGGCCCGACGGGTGGAGGGGTTGTGAACGCGGGCGTGTGTGTGTGTGTGTGTGTGTAGATGGGAGGCACGTGAGCAGCACGAAAAAAGAGGGGGGAGACCGGGCGAAGACAAGAGCGCCACACGTACAGACGCCACGACGGGGGGGATCCAGGATGGCGACCGCGTCCTCGTTCGGGTCCAAAGACTCCAGGACCTGATCCATGCACTTCTCGACACCATTGCAAATGTACGAGCAGTTGGTGATGGCTATGTGTGTGTGTGTGTGTGTGTACAGGGTGGATGCGATGAGTGGGGGAGCGGCAATGAGACATCGGAAGGAGGAGCTGACGGCGCGTCGGGCGACAAAGGCACAAGGCTGCTGACGCACAGTTGAGCGAGGCGTTGAACTTGGCATCCTCGATAGCCTGCGGCACGATCTCGATGCCGATGACACGCTTGGCCTTCTTGGCCATGGAGATGCCGATGGTGCCAGTGCCACAGCAGACATCCAGCAGAACGGTCTCATTGCCGTCGCGCAGGCCGGCCAGCTCGGCGGCGTACGAGTACAGCAGTTCCGTGGCCCCGATGTTCACCTGGAAGAAGGACCAGGGCGAGACGCGGAACCTACGTGGGGGATGAGAAGGGCGCCACGGTCAGACGGGATGTCCACTCGCCTGTCGCATCGTCGCCCCGCCCCTCATGAGAGGCGGCACCGATGACCACAGCGGCGGGGCAAAGAAGGAAGGAGACAGGCGGAGAAGGCACCCACACAAGGGGCGGAAAAAAGCAAAAGGCAAGGTGGACACCCCACGTACTTGAGATCATAGAGCTGCTCGTAGATGTGGGGATCGGCCGCATTGCCGATCAGAGTCCGCACCGGGGCATTGGTGAAGGCGTTGGACAGGCCGGCCTCCTGCTGCCAGAGGAGCAGCACATCCTTGGGGATGCGCTCCTGGCGGATGGCCTCCTCGAAGACGGCCTTCAGCCCGTCAGCCTGGGCCGCCAGGACCTCGGCGCTGTGCTGCTGCGGGTGCACCTGCACCACGACCATCATGGACTTGGACACCGTCTCGCGCACCATGGCCAAACGCCAGAAGCCAGACTGCTCCAGGCGATCGTAGCAGGGGAAGGGAGTGCGGCGCTCGGTGGTGACGGCGGCCTCGGCCGGCTCGGCCGACTCAGCAGCCTCAGAGGTGGTCTCGACAGCGGCAGCCGCCTCGGCCGGCTCAACCGGGTCGACAGCCATCTCAGCGGTCTCCGCGTGCATGCGATCCACATGCTCCTGCAGCAGGGCGGCCACGCTCTTCATGCTGTCCGACACGTGGGGGCACTGCTGCGGGCTCTCGATGAAGGCCTTGCCCTCCTTGAAGAGGCCGAGCAGGAAGCCGACGGTCGGCTTGCCGGCCGGCGAATAGCCGAAGGAGAACTCGCACTTGTTCCGGTAGCCATCGGTCACCGGCGAGCGAATGGTCGGCTCCAGCTTGCACAAGAGGTCGCTTTGGCTGCGCCGGGTGTCAGAAGTTTCGAAGAGAAGCATGCCCGAAAAAGAGAGAAGAAGAGGCGCAGCAAAAGACACGGAAGGGTGGAGGTGACTCCCCAGGCGGGCAGGCGCCCGAGGGGGTGGCGGTGGGATCCCCCCCCCCTTCCTCCCACACGCACGCATGCACGCACGCACGCACGCATGCACGCACGCACGCACGCACGCACGCATGCACGCACGCACGCACGCATGCACGCACGCACGCACGCACGCACGCATGCACGCACGCACGCATGCATGCACGCATGCACACACACACGCACGCATGCACACACGCACGCACGCACGCACGCATGCACAGGCACCCGCCCACCCACCCACCCACCCATCCACCACCACGCGGCCATACACACAGGCGGAAAAGACAAAGGCCGGCAATCAGCCAGGAGCGTACTTGTCCAGCCACACCGGGGCCGTGCCGCTGTACGTGTCGACCAGCTTCTTGCGCGCCTCCTGGAGAATGGTCTTGATGGTGTCGGTCTTCTGCTGGATCTGCTCATCATAGGGGAGACGCCACAGGGGGGTCACCTGGTCGTTGAGGCGCTCGTGCGCCGGCAGGTCGGACTCGGTGTACTCCGCGCGCAGGGTCTGGTGGCGGTCCTTGTGCTCCTGGACATCGACCTCCGACTGGTCACGGAACCGGGCCACCAGGGGCCTCGAGCGGAAGTTCATCGTATTGATCTTCTCGTGCATCTCGGTGATGTTGGCCCCGGGCTGGGGTTTTTTTTTTCCCCACCACAGATTTCCGGCGGGCCGCGCCCAGAGCAGACATAAGTGTCAGACAAGCCCACCCACCCACCCACCCACCCACACCCACACCCACACACGGCGGCCGCTAGGACAGGGCCCTGAAGGGACGAAAGCAGGGGAGGGCCAAACGCACCGGGAAATTGATGTTGAAGGCGGAGTTACGCGGGAAGTACCGGATGCCGGTCACCTGGATGCCGCTCTGCTCGAAGAACTTGCGCACATTCTTGCTGCTCGGGAAGCGGAAGCCGGTGACATGCAGCGAATTGTTCATGTGCACGGCCGGGTCGAAGGCCTTGGTGGCCTTGCGCGCACGGGTGGTGGCACGGGGACCGGCGATCTCGGGGGCAGCAGCGGCAGCGGCAGCGGCAGCGGCGGTGGTGGTGGTCGCGGCGGCGGCCGCGTCGGCGACGGCGACGGTGCCGGCGACAGTGGCCGTCTCGGCGGCGATGTCACCCGGCGGGGGGCTGGACTGCTTGACCATGGTATCGAGAGGGAGGGGCGCCGAGGCGGAGGATAGGGCGCGAGCGGCGACGGCGAGGGGGCGGGTCCGGCTGAGGGGGGCGAATCGGCCAGCCAGCTGGAACATAGGCAGGAGGCGGGGGAAGCGGCGCAAGGAGGGGGGAGGAGAGAGAGACCGGGCAGGATCGTCCAACGGTCGGGGATGCCGCATGCTCTGGCCGAACCGGGCCCGGGCCTTGCTGGCCCTTCGGTTAGTTCCCCGCGTCAGATCGATCCACGCCCCGTTCGCCTCCCAGGGCGCCGGGGCGTGCGTGCGTGAGTGTGGGCAGATGCGGGCAACCACCCCCCCCCCCCCCCCCCCCCCCCCCCCCCCCCCCCCCCCCCCCCCCCCCCCCCCCCCCCCCCCCCCCCCCCCCCCCCCCCCCCCCCCCCCCCCCCCCCCCGCCTCCCACCCCACCCCACCCTTGAGGATCGTCGTGGGTGCCGCACGCGCGCCTTCCCGCACGCGCCCCCGCGTCCTGGTGCCATCACCGGGCACGCGGAAGTGCGAAGGGCGCGCGAGGCCAGGGCGCGGGCCCCGGCCGACGAGAGGCGCGCGTGCGTTGGCGCACAGGCGACGCGTGGTCGCGAATGCCAATCCATCGTCCTCCGCGTGACTTCAGGACCACGGGTACACCCGGCCCAACACCGGTGGCGAGACCACGCCAACCGGGAGCTATTATGGATTGCTTTTTCTATTTTGTCCCTCACACAGGGCCACCGGCATCCTCGCCCGGGTCCGGCTGGCTATTCATCTCGGCCCGGCTGGACTCCAATTGGGCAAACTACACCCCCGCCCGAGCAGGGACAGGCAGGAAGGAAGGGAGGAGCACGTCAGTAAGCAGCATGTGGCAAGGCACCAGGCCCACCCGAGGGGAGGGCCGAATGGGGGCACATCGGCGAGCGCATACCTCGCTGATCAGGGACTCCAGCTGTGTGGCGCGCGAGCGCTCTTCCCGCAGAGCGGAGGCCAGTTTGGCGTTCATGGCCGCCAGATCGGACGTGTGCATGGCTTCGGCAGCCAGCCGGTGGATGTGCCCCTCGAAGGCGGCTCGCGCGCTGGCGGCATCCGCCTCGAATCGAGGGTCCGCGTAGATGCCAGCCGTCAGAGGGTCGACCCCGGGCGCCGGGGCACCGGGCCGTTGATCGGGCCGAGCCCCGGGCGGCGAGAGGGAGCCGTAGGCGGCGCTCGGTGTGTAGGGCGGGGTGGCCGGCGTGTAGGGCGGGGTGGCCGGCGTGTAAGATGGCCCACCTGAGGGGTAGGGACCCCCGATGCCCGGAGCATAGGGCAGCACGCCCGGGGCGGTGGCATATGCGGCCCCCGGCCACCCGTAGCCCGGATGCCCGGGGTACATGTGGGGATAGGCCGAATAGGCAGGATGTGGCAAGGGAGCCTGGACCGGGAGGGCCGGTGGCGGCGGCGGCGGCGGCGGTGGCGGCGGCGGTGTCGTGATGTGCGCCGGGGCCGGCGCCAAGGGACTGGACCCGGCGCTGCCAGGCCGGCTGAAAAAGGCCTTGGTTGCCAGCCAGGAAACCAGACGATCCTCGCGCGAAATCGAACAGTGAATAGCCACGGCGGCAGGCTGGCCGTTGGCAAAGAGGGAAGAAGGGACCATGGTCGAGGAATGTCTGGGGTGAGTCCACAAGGCAGGGCGTGTGTGTGTGTGTGGAAGAGGGGGGACGTCTCAGACCCAGCAGCGTACCTGGCCGTTGGCGGCGAGCAACGGCTCGGCCGAGGCAACGCCCAGCAGCGGGACCCAAGTACGGAAGTCGGCGGCCAGGCGTCCAGTTCCCGGGGTCCCGGGGTCAACGAAGGGGCCGAGTGGCGGCGGCGAGGCGGCCGCCGACGCGGCAAAGCACCCCAACAGGGGAGCCAACGAGGAGGCCGCTCGCGCGAGGCACTGGCCGGTTTCCCCATCCAGCATGTCCACCTCCAGCAGGTGGTCCACCAGCGATAGGACTCCCGGAGGACAGGCAGGCGCCTCGGCCACCGGTCGGCCACCGGCCGCGAGGCTAGCTAGCTGCTGTGGGCTCGACAGGACCCGGAGGAAAACGCGCTTCGGCGGGAAGACCGAGTATCCGTCGGCGGCGCTCGGCGAACCGCCGGAGGGGCCGGCGGCCGCTGTCCCACCAGCCACCGGGAATTGCCCGGTGGAGATGCGAACATCGGCCCCGGTCAGGCGAAGCACGCGCAGACGGGCCGGTGCTCGCGCTGCACCGGGGTCGGTGTCCGGGCCGGCGGTGCCCATGCCGGGCCCCGAGTCCGGGCTCCCGGCGGCCGCCGAGAGATTTCGCGCCCCAACAATCGCCAAGGACAGCACATAGACCACCGGCTGCCGGAGCCAACTGGCGCCGCCGTCAGCCGGGGAGGCGGCGGTCATCGGGAGGGTGTCCAAAGGGAGAAGAAGGCAGGGGATCGGGGGGTAGGGCGGGAGGCAGGCGAGGGGGACAGGAGACAAGAGCGAGGGGATAGGTGTGTGTGTGTGTGTGTGTGTGTGTGTGTGTGTGTGTGTGTGTGTGTGCGCGCGTGCGTGCGCGCGCAAATGTGTATGGAGGCGGGGCTGGGCGGGTGCAGGCGAGCAGGCATGATCGAAGGCGGAGCGTGTGGACGCTGCGCGCGGCTCACACGGGGCTGGCATCAATCTCCCCGCGGCCGGGGCTCGCTTGGCGCGGGGCACAGGAGAGACAGAGAGAGGGGATCTTGCTCCCAGTCTGTCCTACATCGGAAAAAATGCGGCCGCGCCGGGGGGCGAAAGTAACGATCGGGCGTGGCCGGATGGTTGGCATGTCGCGATGCCGCGCGCGCGCGCCCGTCCCACCGTCGTCCAGTCTGGTGGCCGGCGTGCTGGGCGCGATCGGGGCGTTTGACATGCATTGGGGCTGGGAAGGGGGGGGGGGGGGGGGTGCAAAAATGAAAAAGGTGGCCCTGCCGGCCGCGGATCGGCCCCAGGCCGCCGGGGCATGCAGCAACACCCCCCCCCCCCCCCTCTTGCTCCGCCCTTTCCCCGCATACCTCACCCCCCTCGTCCACTCCTCGGAGGCGACAACCGGATGACTTCCAGATCGGCGGCAACCGCGCGCCGGGTCGCGCTGCTGGCTCTCGGCAGCCGCATCGCCTCCCTGGGCCTGCTGGTGCTGCCGCGGCTTCTGCTTCGGCTTGACCCGGACGACACATCCACCGCCCTGGCCCTGGGCATCGGCATGAACTCTGGCGAAGATAACCCGTGCGTGGCTGCCCCCCCCCCCCCTCCCTCTCTCCCCCTCCTCGCCTTTTCCCCCACTGTGCCCGGTGCGACGGCCCCGCCGGCCTGCCTCTTGGCTGACCACGCGCTTCATCAGGGCCCCACTGCATGTGCGCGCGGCCGAGGCCCTCATCCGCTGGGATGCCATTCACATGCATGCGATCGCCGCCGGTACGCCGGCTCTGGACCGGTGGGCCTGGTGGGAGCCAGTCCCCGGCGGCTGGGCCGACTGGGGCCACACCTTCGAGCAGCAGCATGCCTTCTTCCCTGGTCTGCCTGCGGCCGCCCGCGCCATCGCCTTCGGCTGGGGTGCGTGCGCACCTACATAACCCCCCCCCCCCC